CCCCATTTTTTGCGGTGTCATATTCCATTTTTAAGTTTATCAAAGTTCAAGGACCTCCACTTTTTGCCATGTTCTCTTTCGAAGGACAATGAAATTTTCAAGGTCAAAGTTTTTAGTGTCAAAGTCAATGGCATCTTCGGATTAGCCCGTTTCTGAATAGTGAAGAGCCCCCTGTTTCCAAAATTCTTAGCAGTCTGTTTAGAGCAGATATACAAGGCCGAAGCTGGATCGGGTCAAGGTCGCTCGTCACTTTGGGTAACCTTGAAAAGTCGGTTAAGGTGAAGTTTACAAGTCACCTGCCACGTGGCGGTGACCTTGGGAAATACTCACCACATTCCCCAAGCGCTCTTTGATTGTTAACATTGGAACGTTTATGACCTTGGAAATTAATTATCAAGGTCATATTCCATTTTTAAGTTTTAAGTTCAAGGACCTTTGCAGTGGCATATTTCCTTTCGAAGGTCAGAATAGGACAATGACATTTCAATGTCTGCAAACGTCCATTTTTTGTAGTGTCAAAGTCAATGGCATTTTCGCAAGGATTAGCTTCTACAAATTTCGAAAGTACTTAAGGTTCTAACGGATTCCAGAATTTTTAAGGCTTATACAACTCGGAGGGAATTTCAAAAATCTGAGAGAGTCCAAACGTTCTCAAAACTTTAATTATTTCCTTATCCAAATATCGAAATTTTTAAATTCTTGTTGTTGGTATTGATTATAGTACCAAAAGGTTTCAAGGAACTTCCTTCACCTCCTTAAGTTTCTCTGGAGTGTCTACGTTCAAAAATAACACTGAAAGAACTCTTGCAAATGTGCTTCGTTACTGCCTCCATTTTTCGGGGTCATGTTCTATTTTCAAGGCCATCGGTGGTCAATTGCGCCATTTTGTGCGATCTAATATTTCAGTGTTAAGGTCAGCGGAGGTCAATGACTCATTTTTTCGGGGTCACTTCTCTTTCAAGGTCATCAAATTTCAATTACCTTCGAGTTCCTGCGGTGCCATATTTTATTACCAAGTTCTCATATTTCATTGTCGAGGCTATAAGAGGCCGATTACCCAATTTTCTGAGGTGTCATGTTCAACATAGGTCAATATATTCCATTTTCGGGATCATAAGAAGTTAGTGATCCTTGTATTTTACGGTGTCGTTTCAAATTGGTCACCAGAGGTGAGCGACTTCATTTCTTGTGGCGTCATGTTTCATGTTCAAGGTTATCAAAGTTCAGTGCCGTCTTTTTAGTTGCCATATTCTCTTTCCATGGATCTTATTTAGTTCTCAGGGTGTTTTAATGATGAAATAAATTCCAAATGTTCTCATAGCTCCCAGGATGCCCAAGGTTCTACAGTATGCTCAATGTCTTCCGGTTGGTCGGAGGTTCTCTGTGATTTTACGATTGTTATGTACCATGTAAGAATAAGACAAGGGCTGAGCTGGTGCATATGAATTTACAGTACTACTGCTCGGTACCACGCTAATTTCACGTTAAATGATCATGATCTTATACGGTTACCAGTGAAAAGTTGGAAATGTATTTTCAATGAGTACGTTAATTATGGATTTATATTTTTAATCCACGGTAGGTTACAAATACCCTTACAGTTCTAGAAATTGTCAAGGTGCTCGATGATTTTCAGTTCGCATGTTTGATCGATTCTGATGATTTTCTAGTCGAAGTTTCCTGAAAATTGCGCTTGGTTTCAAAATCCTCAATATTCCTCAACAGTTTTGACTATTCCAAGACCTCGCCGAGTAAGGTTCACAAGGAATTCAAGGTTCTCAAACTTTGATAGAAGAAGTAAAAGGTCAAATTCGAGGTTCTCATGAATCCCTAATGCCCAAACGTTTTTAAAATTATAGTAGTACGCAAATCTCTTAGGGTCCTCCATCTACCCTTAGAGGCCCCCGGTTACTAATGTTCCCAAAATAATCAAGGGCACAATGTTTCCAAGATTCTGAGTAGTGTAGGTATAGAAACCTGAACGTGGATCAATTCAAGGTCGCTCGCTCCCTTGCGGTGACCTTGGAAGTAGGTTAGGTGGAAGTTCAAAGGTACTACGTGGAGGTGACCTTCCCCCAAACGCTCTTATAGTGATGATTTTAAAATGTTTCTGACCTTGAAATGCAGGTCTACAAGAGCTCAAGGATTGCTCGTCTTCAAAGGTCAATCACCTCATTTTGTGGTGGCATTTATTTTTCAAAGTTATTAAAGTTCAATGACCCCCTTTTTTTTGTGTCATATTTTTACTTTTAAACTCAGAAGTCAATTTTGTGCGGTGTAATATTTTGTTTTCAAGGTCATCAATGATCAATGGTCTGATACGAGGGGTAAACCGCAACCCAAATTTTGTACACTGATTTCCTATAAATATTAGATTTCCTCTGAGTTCCTTCGAGTTCTTCAGAGTTCATTTGATTTCTTCGGAGTTTCCCTGATTTCCTCCGAGTTCCTCCAACTTCCACGAAATACCTCTGATTTCCTTGGAGTTTCCTCGATTTTCTTTTGGAGTTCCTGTGAGTTCCTCTGATTTTTTAAAGTTTTTTAATTATTTCATTGTTATTCCGTTGATTTAACAATTTCCTGGTAAGTAAAACCCGAGGTAAAACCATAAAAAAAATATAAAAGTGTCAAATGTCAAGTTAAAAAGTAATCGTAAACGATTTACATAAAGCGCATTTCCACTTGCATTCATTTCCCATTTGTAAGATGCAACTTCTGTTAAAATCGTAAAAATGCGCCCACAAATATGAAAGATAGCGTTGCACATGGGCAATCCATTGTTGACGTGCTACTTCAATTTCAGTTTATGAGAAGAATTTCATTTCAATGCTTTTCTAAATAAGAAAGTTGGAACTGCGCATGCGCAACCCAAAATTTTAAAACTAATTTACTATAACTAACTAATAAACTAAGATTTTCCTTTGTTCCAAGCGCCTAAGTATCAAATTTCACTTAAATAGTTCCATAGATAAAAAAAGTTGGCACTGCGCGTGCGCAAAACCAAATTTTGAAATTGGCGTTTGATTTTCCTTTATCCCAAGTGCCTATGTATCAAATTTCATTTAAATTCTTCCATAAATAAAATAGTTGGCACTGCGCATGCGCAAAACCAAATTTTGAAACTGGCGTTTGATTTTCCTTTATCCCAAGTGCCTATGTATCAAATTTCGTTTAAATTCTTCCATAAATAAAAAAGTTGGCACTGCGGATGCGCAAAACCAAATTTTGAAATTGGCGTTTGATTTTCCTTTATCCCAAGTGCCTATGTATCAAATTTCATTCAAATACTTTTATAAGTAAAAAAGTTTGCAATTCGGTTTATGGTCGAGATGCGAAAAGGGCACTGTAAATTTTGAATCGATTCGATTCAACTTTTGGCATTGCGTATTATATGGCTAAATCTATGCCCATATTGAATTTCATGCAATTCAGTTCATAACTCACGGAGATGTAAAAGCGATCGAACATTTCTAAACGAAGTTATCGTTCACACGGACAGCTAGATGGACAGACAGACAAAGGAACAGACGGAGAGACCAATCGGCAGGCGACAGATAGCAATGCAAAATTATAAACGATCTCTAGGATCGTTAATAAACGGCAAAAGGGTAAAATTATGGAACATGTAAAAAACGGTTTTTTGTTTTTTTTTTACAATAACTTTTTTTGTAAGCGGTACAGAAAAAATTCCTTCCTTGGTACAAGACTCGACACCATAACGAACCAAATAGCGAAAAAAGTAGAACAATAACTCCTAAGATAAAGAACTAGTAGCGTCGCAAAGTTAGCGGACGGACGGACGGATAAAGACACGACCTTAGACGAAACACTATTTTATATTTTAATAGACCTATTTGCAATGAGAAAAACTCATTATTAAATGAGAAAAATACCATAAAGAAATAAAAAAATTAGTTAAGACCAAATTAAATACCTAATAAAATGCAGCACGAGTTCCTTTGATTTCTTTAGAGTTCCCTTGATTTCCTCGGAGTTCCTGTGATTTCCTTGGAATTCCTCCTGAATACACATGGAATTCCTTGGAATTCTTAGCTTTCCTAGGGGTTCCTCCGGAATTCCTATGATTTCCCATAGATTTCCTCAAACGTGTACACTGATTTCCCATCGCGGTTTACCCCTCGGTCTGATATTTTGTGGGGATTTTTGCATTTTCGAGGTCACCAGAGCATTCTCAAATTGATGATTTGCCATATTTCATTTCAGTTCAGCAAAGAATGATACCCCGTTGTGTGGTGTCATATTTTATTGTAAAGGTTATCACACGCCTATTTTTGCAGTCATGTTTTTTCAAAGTCATAAAAGATAATGGCCCCATTTTTTCTAATGTTTATATCAGCATAGACCAATGGCCCTATTTTTGGCTTCTTAAAATACTGGAAGTTCTTCAAGCTTTAACCGCTCTCGGGGTTTTTAAGGTTTTTAAAGCTGGAGAGAGTTTCAAGAATCCCAGAGACGGTTTTTAAAATTCTAAAGATTTCCGCTTCCACATGCTCCTTCAATTCCTAGGGGTTTTCTATATTAAAGCAGTTCAGAAAGATACTTTATGTATTCTTAGAGGACCTGGAACTGTTCTAATTATCAAGGTTCTCAATTCCCATATTTCTTAAAGTACTCAGGGTGATTTAGAGGTCTCTCTGCTCTTACGATTGTTTTGTATGCACTACTTTTGTTCACCAAGCAATATATTGTAAGAAGGATTTTGCAGTACTACTGCGCGGCACCGCTGTAGGTGTGCGTTAAATGATCATGATCTTTTACAATTACCCATCTCCGTGGTCGATCTAATTACTTCGTATTTGTACGCAACCTGACAAAAACAAACATAACCTATAATTAGTCTATAGAGTAAAGCTGGTAAGGCAACCAAAACTTACAAAAATCTGGAAGGGGCAAGGTTTTCTCACGCGCGAGTTTGAAATAAGAGGTAAGCTCTAAACTTAACTAAATCCTGAATGGGTAAGGAAAGTTTTTGTACTTACGTGAAAAGCAGCACTTTTCCGTTTTGATAGCATAAATGCAGGCACAGACAAGCAATAAGAAGGCTGCCAAAGCTCCGCCGGCTAGAGTAACCAACGTGCTTAGCTGCATCGGCTCTGCAAAGAAAAAAGAATAACGTTATTACCACGTAAAGAACCTCCGACAAATTTCGAAAGCCCCTACAATACGTACCATTCACATAAAGTAATACGGCGTGCTTATCCTTTCCTTTGTCGTTCTCAACAGCCAAATAATAAGCTCTCGAATCGACCGAATCCGCGTCCGAAATATGTAAAGCCGCGGAATAGCAATCCTCCCTCTCCTCCTCGGTAACGTCGTCGACCTTAAATCTTCCTAAAAATGAAAAGCCAACTTTAAGAATAGTGACGGTCGTAGTTGAGATAAACTTTTCTGGCGGAAAAATGCTCCCGTTTAGGTAATCCGACACATGCTTTTATAACTTTACGGTAGTAAAGTGTCTACAAACTTAAAGGACGCCGCCATATTTATACTAAGGGAATCTTCTTCTCGCACAGATTATCCGAACTTAGTTCCGCATTTCCCACCCCAACTAACAGAAAGTAAACATTAAGCTTATATTGAGAAGTGTTTGCGTTAAGTAAAGGTGTGTAAGAGTTTGTAAACGCTTTTAGGATTATTTCGAAAGTCGTTAAGGAACTTACGAGAGGAGAGCAAAAATAAAATTTATAAATAATGCCGCTCGCCTACACTCCGTCCACTGCCGCTTTTAATCGAATTAGGATTTAACTTTTCTCTAATACGAAATACAACAAATTATTAGGGGTTTAAATTTAAGCCTTCAAGCTCCTTAAGATTAGCACAAATGCTCGTCGAATTGATTTAGAGATTAGTCTGCGTTTTCCTTTCGCTGAAACTGCGTCGAGAGGGTCTGATTAATTTTGAGATGTGCTAATCGATAGAAGAAAAAAAAAGCGCGGACGGAGTGTAACTGAACCAATCTGAGAAAATTCCAAGATTACGCATTTGGACAAAAAGATTCAAAAATCGTTTTCAACTAGAACCAAGAACAACTCCAAGATCTTTGGAATATGGGTCTCCAAATCCATAGTCTTATCCTCTCGCATTCTGTAGTGATTTTCGTCTCCGCATAGTGTTTTTCGTACATCCCTTCTGTAACTATCCCCTTCTTGTCCTTGTCAGAGGCCTTATCCTCTATTTTCGAAACCCCCGTGTTTTCTTGCAGGTACTCCACCTGTGTAGCAACTTAAACCACCAGTTATCCTAGTCTAGGTAAATTCCCTGGTTTCATTAGCTCACCCATGAGCTCCACACTTATAGCAGTGTTCATATTGCCTGAAGCGCAGTCTTTATAGTATTTGTTGTCGCGCCCTTTAACAGCTTTTGTGCTATTTGGTTTTGTCTTCCGCAGTAAATTCCACAGTCTTTTCAGTTTCTATCCTGGAAATAGTATCCGCCTCTGGCGTCGTCTCTGTAAATCTCTGTTTCGTTTAGTTTCCATAGTGACCTTACCAATCCACTTCGAAAGGGAAAGGGAAGGGGAAAGGTCTCGATATCTGACTGGGTATGCCATCTATAGCATCGCAACGCAACAACTTTCGAGGTGAACCATAAAAAACTATGCAAGCTAGTCTGTGGCAGATATATTTTGTAGACGTGTGGGAATCTGGTAAGATTGAGAAATTAGTTACCTTTAGTGGATCCAGCTTCCATTCTAACCGATCCCCACTCCCACGCCATCACTCTCGGTCTCGGGTCGGCGCAAACCACCACCCTCAGGTCCGCACTTTCTCCTTTCTCCACTCGTATCTCGGGCTTGATCGAGTGCCTCAAAACTTGCGGCGCACCTACAGTAGGACAAAGAAAAACATACCTATTACTTGTACACGTCCGAAATCGATTTCGGAGTAAATTCATGCAAATTTACGTACGGTACGTTTTATGAGAGATAAAGATTTGGATTATTTCCATCGTAGAAGTTGAATAAAGCTGTAAGGCGTTTTAGAACGAATTTTGATTGAGCTTCCTTTAGAAGTTCTTTCAGCATTAGGGATTACGAACAAAGCCGCAATCAGCAAAGAATTGGGAGATTGTGCTCGGGCGCGTTAAAATCTTTTATCGCGGTAAAATAAGAATACAGCATTTATGATCAGATTTTTAGCGGTATTTTTCTACATTTTTCAATATTAAGCACGTACGGGTACGAAAATGTGTGAATGAACGTTTAATAATGTATGATCCACGTATATACCATCCCCCACTAATTTAACCCAAATATCAACAGTATGCTCCTTATGGGCCAATAAAGCCACAGCGCAGATGTGATGCATACCTAAAAGGATCTACAATAATAGCTATTTATGCATCAAGGACATTAAGGCGATATTTATGCTGAGGTCGACAAATCCCTACGGCTTCCGGCCCGAGGGATTGTAAGTCGCCCGAGGGTTAAAAATCGACTAATGCCTGAGGTGCATACAAAATTTTATTTTTCATCGTTCCAAATAATGCATTTCCAATATACAAAATAATATATGAATTGTTTAGTAATATACAGGGTGGCTATTGAAGATGGAACCAAAGCTGACCATTTAAGAATTTAATATGAACGCCGTTTTTCAATATGGTGGTGCATATTAACTGTTATTAGAGGTAAATATCTTTCAAATGATGATACCATGAAATTTAGTATGAAAGTTTCTACATGGGCATTGTTTAATATCAAAACTCTTACCAAAATTCAAAATGGACGTCGTTTTTCAAGATGGCGGCGCCTATTAGCCATGATTAGTGGTAAATATCTTTCAAATTATCATCATTAGACAGGTTTCTGCTGAACAGACCTGATTCTGATGATTATTTATATGTTTCTGATTAACAGACCTGTTAGTTTAGACAACAACCACGTTGACCATCAGTGACTTGGTGCATGCGCAGTAGTTTAACCATGGAATTGGCACATGCGCAGAACTCAATGTCAAAGTGCACCAGAACAGGACAGGTGTTACTGTACTACTACTAATAATAGTTATTATGTGTATGCTCTGCAATGCCCTTTTGGAAAACGGCGGCCATCTTGAATTTTTTAAGTGACCACCCTTACTTTTGTAGGGGCATTCATACCAAATTGCATCGTAGTATCATCATTTGAAAAATACTTTTAGCATTAATGATAGTTAATACGTGCCGCCATTTTGGAAAATCGGCGACCATATTAAATTTCTTTAATTGACCAGCGTTTTTATATGAAACAGTACCTTTGCACGCTGTTTTTGCTCTGGAAAAGAATGCCCTAGAAGGTCCTAGTCTCAATAGTCCGTCTGTCCCTAGTGTAGCAATTCGGTTTAAAATAGAAGGTTCTTTTATCTGCCGTATTTAAAATAAAAAAATGCCATTTTCCGGGAATTTCAGATACATTAGAAACAGGGTACCAGTCCTCCAAAGAAGCCCAAGAATCTATCAAAAGGCAAAAAGATACTCAATAAATACTCAAGGAATGTTGAAATACGTTAGAAAATGAATAAAAGACGACTAAAGACATTAAAGCCCAAAGGTTGAGTTGAAGAGAAGATCATATAACCCTAAAAGACGCTCAGTAGAGACCCAAACTCACTCAAATCATGAGACATTCAAAAGACAATAATAAATAATAAATAAATGCTAGCAAAAAAAGGTTCCGTGGTGAGCTTGGTCTGCAAGTGTTAGGAGGGAGGGCAATGAGAGACATAGATCGACCGTGGTAGATCCATTGTCCGAGGGTACCAGTTAAAGGGCCGAGGCGGGACGTGTATCCTAAATAATACACGGGCACTCGGCGTAATCCTTTCTCAAATAGGTATGATCTCCATCTTAATTCCTTAGGATGTCATCCCCAATGAGGCCTTCTATCTCTTTTTGCGTCTTAATAATTAACTCTGATCAACAATTAGTCCCCTTTTAATTAGCCACTGCTCCTATTTAAAATACCACCCCTCCATATACAGAATAGAAGATAAAATGGATGTTAAAAAATGCTCAAAAGTTTGCCAATGAACTCAAAAGGCATCCAACAGAAGCGCTCAGACGACGCTAAAAATGATACAGAAGACGCACAAAACACGTTCCAATGTTTCTCAAAGGACGCTCAAAACACTCAAAAAACAAGGAAACAATAGAAGGCCATTGGAAAACTCATCAAAAAAGGAAACTCCATAGACGCTCAAATGAAAACAACATACGTGCAAAATTGGCTCAAAAGATAATGAAAAGAATGAAGATACTTAAAAATAATTGAGCCACTCAAAAGGCGATTACAGAAACGGATGATTGATGAAACTGAAATGATGCTTGAAAGATGCTTAAAGGCATTTAAGACACCAAAAGGACAATCAAAAGATAATCAAAAATACTCAAAGACACCCAAAAGACAACCATAAAGCACTAAAAAGAGGATGAGTCGTTGAAATTAACTCTTAAAGTACACTCAAAAGGCAATCAAAAGGCGTTAAAGAGTCGCTCAAAGGGCAGTCAAAACCCATTCAAAAGATACTCAAGACACACTTAGACCAAAAGGCGCAAAAAATTCAAACGACACTCAAGAGACATCCAAAACACTCAATAGCCGCTCAGAAGACGGTAAACAGTGACAAAAAAAGATAAATAAGAAAGAAGGGGAACAATCACAAGACGCTAAAGTGACACTCAAGGGATGTCTAAAACACTTCCAAGGACCATTAAAAAAAACACCTAGAAGCTGAAAAGGAAATGCTGCATATATACTCTAAGTGTGTTGAAATGGCACTGCAAGAGGAGTTCAAAAATTGAGATCAAAAATATGCTCACAAATAATGCACGAAAAAGCTAAAAAGAATCTCAAAAGCACTAAAAAGACACCAAAGGGACGCTCAAAAACCTTTCAAAAGACACTCAAAGAAGGTAGTAAAGAAGATGTTATAAAGACTGTTAAGAGACGCCAAAAGGGATAATAAAATAATGACCTGCTGCTTAAATACAATTAATTGACGCTCAAAGATACTCAAAAGGTGCTCAAAGGCATTCAAAATACACTCAGCACACACTCGAAAACAGTCATTAGAAGGCCAAATAGCATTGAAAATAGAGAAATAGGTGCTCACAAACGTTGAAATGACGGTCAAATGATGTTGAAATGTCAACCAAAAGAACTCAGTAGAAATTCTTGACACTGTAACTTTAAAGACACTCTAAAAACACTATGATGACACCCTAATTACACACGAAAATCATCCCACGATACAGGGACACTCAAAAGATATTCAAATGACAGTCAAGAACCACACAAAAGACAGTAAATTGGCGCTCAACCACAATACGCGAAAAAATGTGCTCAAAGAATGAAAAAATACGTTAAAAGAGTTGTAACCCTAAAAGATGCTCAAAGGATACTCATGTTCGAAAGATATCCAAAAGCATCTAAGACCAAAAAAAATTTAAATTGACTCTTAGCACTCAAACGGCAATCAAAGGGCGCTAAAGAGACACTGAAATGGCACCTTAAAAAACATTCAAAAGATACCCTAATACACTAATAGCGCAAAGTACGCTTCAGAGATTTTGAAAAGGCACCTAAAGGCAACAAAGGCACACTCAAAAGTCGACACCTAGTAATCCAAAAGGTACTCAATAGCCACTCAGGAAAGAGGTGAGCAAAAAGACGCGCAAGATACGCTCAATAGAGTTACAAAATACTCAAAGGGCAACAAAAAATATTGAAAACACGGGGAATAGCTAAAAGGGATGCTCAAACTACCCTCATAATTAGTGATGTTAAATTACACTTTTTTTTAAAGTGCGTAATATTACGTGTAAAATTACCAATTGTTTATGTTTTTTATGTATTTTATGTAATTTATGTAACTTACCATTTTTTTGAAAAAAACCCTAATTTTACAATCCACATCACTACTAACCAATTTCAAAAAAAAATTCAAAGGGCTGGAACTTTTGAACTAGTAACCCAATCCTGGAACTGTTTGAAATTATGGATTTTACAGGCCACATTCTATAAGAACATTTTTTTTCCGGGTCGATCTGAGACAATTTTTTTTTTCGGGGCTCAAAAAAAGGCAGTGTATAACCTTCCTTTTTTACCAAAAATCGACCATAACAAAATTTTTCGGGAAAACGCTTTTTCTTATCAATTTCGGTGCGTAGAATCCAAATCAATTCGTACTTTTTCGATCAGACTTCTCAATCAAAAGTTATAGACTAGAAACCAATTTCGAAAAAAAATTAAAAGGGCTGTAACTTTTGTACTAGTAGCCCAATCTTTGAACTGTTTGAAATTATGGATTCTACAGGCCACTTTCTATAAGAAACATTTCTTTCCGGGTCGATCTGAGACAATTTTTTTTTCGGGGCTCAAAAAAAGGCAGTGTATAACCTTCCTCTTTTACCAAAAATCGACTACACCAAAATTTCTCGGGAAAACACTTTTTCTTATTAATTTGGGTGCGTATAATCCAAATCAATTCGTACTTTTTCGATCAGACTTCTCAATCAAAAGTTATAGACTAGAAACCAATTTTGAAAAAAAATTCAAAGGGCTGTAACTTTTGAAGTAGTAGCCCAATCTTTGAACTGTTTGAAATTATGGATTCTACAGGCCACATTCTATAAAAAAAAATTTTTTCCGGGTCGATCTGAGAATTTTTTTTTCGGGGCTCAGAAAAAGGCAGTGTATAACCTTCCTTTTTTAGCAAAAATACATACAAAAACCGGCCTCTTGTAAGTTACGCGTAATATAACCGTTTTTTATGTAACTTACAAATCGTTATTTTACAATCCACATCACTACTCATAATACGTTCAAAAGATGAGCAAAAGTCACACAAGAACTCAGAGGACATTCAATGGCCACTCGAAGACACTTTAAAGATATACAAAACCCACTTATTAGACTCCCAAGAATCGTTGAGAAGACTATAAAAAAAGATTACAAAGAAGACAGATTCTGCGAAAAAGACACTCAAAACGAATTCAAAATACATTTAAAAGGCACTCAACATATTACTACTCAAGGGACAGTCAGTAGACTTTCACTGACAACCCAGATATATAAAGCTTTAGGAGGATACTAAAAAGAAAGAGGCAAAATCTACTAAAAAAGTGCTTAAAAAACCCACCAAATAGACGTTCAAGAAACCCTGGAATAATTGCTCAAAAGGTGCCACAGATTCTCACAAGATCTTCAAAAGAGACTAAAAAAAACACTAAAAAAGTCAATACACGCTCAGACAAGGTTAAAAATAGAGGAAGAGGCGCTCAAAAGGTGCTCAGAAGCGTTCAGAAGACACTTAAATGATGCTCAACAGTTAAACAAATGATTCGACTTTTACTACAACTTTATAGACACTCTCAGAGCAGCCAAAATAGAGCCTATTTACACAAGAAAATCCTCCTAAAACATCAAAGGCGATACAGAGACATTCAAAATGCGCTTAAAGACATTCAAATGCTATGCAAGAACCACACAAAAAAACGCAAGTCAAAAAAACACATACAAAATGCTCAAAAGATGATCAAATAATTAAAAATCCTAAACTAAAATCCTCTACAGTTCATGAAACTTTCACAGCCAACCGCAAAACATCTCCACAAAAACCCAAAAAAGTACTTTAAAATCTTCTAGAAACACTGTGAAGATGATCACCGAAGCGACACTCAAAACTCTTTCAAAGACACTCAAAATTCAAGGCATAATAAAAGAACACTCAAAGGCGCATTTCTAAAATCACATTTTTCGGTTTTTTTATCATAACGTCGTTACTTGTAAAGCTACAAGAAACTCTGAAAAGGAAAATTAATCTTAAAAAATTCTACAATTTTCTGCTCCTGTAAGTAACTTTACGGTACAACGAAAAAAAAACACCCTGTATATTTTTTGGCTACATGGTCTCTAATTAAAATTCTCATCTTCTGCTACTCACCGACGACCTGAAGCGCAATAGATTCACTCTGCACCGTCCTCTCAATACCTCCGATGATGTTTGTAACTTTACACACGTACTCGCCCTGATAGTCGTAGGTGACGTTGGGAACGTGCAGTTTTGACTCCCTCCCGCGTTCCAAAATGAAATCGGATGGCGTCGGATATCTCTGCAGCCACTGGTACGTGGGCTGTGGATTTCCCTCGGCGATGCACTCAAAGGTGGCCGACGTGAACAGCGGGGCCGTCGTAAGTCTATCCGGTCCGACGCTGAGTATCTTAGGCGGATCTGAAAAACCAGCGTAACTTTATTCCCTCGCGCGATTTCGACCCCTCAAAATTTACAGTGGCCGTTATAAAAGCACATTGTGCGAGAATTTACCCATCCTTAGCCGCCGCCTATCCAAACAAGCGCGGGCGAAGATTTGGGCCGATTATAAGTTGAGATTGTAGCCAGACCTAAACCAACATGGCGGGTCCAGTTATCAAATTAGCTTCCCCCTAATTAACGAACAAATTACATCCGAACTGGAGATTTACTAATTTCGAAACTTCGCCGGATGGCAGTGTAATTGATATAAGATTATGCATGCTACACATCCTGCGGCTTTAATTTTCAAACTTTGTCTCACTCAGCCCTCGTCATTCTAATGGAATTATTTATTACGCCTAAATGTCACACAATTACCGAGCCAAACGGGATTTATTTGAAAGCGTATAGCGCGAACTGCGGTCCCGCTGCGAAATCTGCTAAAAGCTTCTTAAATTTTTATTCGGTACCTTGCTGTGGACTGAGCAGAGGAGAATCAAATACTTTTTCTAAGGAGGAATTTGTACTTTTACAATGATTTTCATGAGAAACAGACTAACGTACTATTTAGTAAACAAAACACAAGAAAGGCATTAAGCTTTAATTTTAGTAGGTGCGGTACACCCACTCAGTTTCAAAGGTAATTACTTGAAAAACAATCATTTACCTTGCAGTAAACTGATCAATTTTGAGAATGTGTCCTTAATCTTATTTTGTTAGCAAAATTGACCTTTATTATTAGGAATTCGTTAACCCGACATTATAGGCCAGTAGGGTAGTAGTAGCAAATCATTATCACTTTATATATGTTTATAGTGGTACGGCACAGAATTTATGTAAAAATCTTGACGAAAGTTGCATTGAACGACCTCGGAATAGAACAGTTCGTGAAAAATTGAAATTTTTGCTAATTTGATCATTATTTTGCCACACCTCAATGTAATCAAAGTAATGCAATTGTCCACACTTCTGACATAATCATTCATAAATCAGGGTTGGCAAAACGAAAAACCCATTTGAAAAACCCACAGGGTTTTTGTGTCAAAAACCCACCCAACGACCTATACAAAAACCCAACACAAAAACCCATACAAAAGCCCAAAGAATTTGAGACACAAAATGAGACAAAATCGAGATAATTTTTATATAGTATTTAATAACAAAATATAATGTAGTTTACTAGGAGTACTGATAGATCAGTCTTTATATTCTTATTCCTAGTTTCAAAAAAATTTACATTAAAATATAAAATACAAAACGGCTTATTCATTAGGAACAAAATAAAATAAAAATAATAATTAAAAACCTAAAACAACTTTTTCTCTTTTTTAAAGTGGCTCATTTTTATTATTTTTACAAGCTTTTCTACGTTATCGGGCAGTAACTTATTCCGAAGATCAGTCCACAGTTCCGGAAATTCGACAAATACCTAAAAATTACCCAAATACTCAAGAAAAACACAAAAACCCAACACAAATTCCCAAAACCCCACCCAAAGCATACAAAAACACAGATTTTTGCCAACCCTGCCATAAACATTGATGAAATCCCGGAAAATCGCGATATATATACTAAAGTGCAAAGATATGAAGATAACGAAAGCTTCCCAAACGGTCAAAATTGTGAGCCATTGGGGCAATTCCAGAAAGATCGCATGGAAAAAAGGTGATTCAATTTGATAGCAACGCTCGTCTTCTACAAATTGTAAACTCCATAAAAACTTGAGGAACGCTCCTTTTTAGATCATGGTGTGATCATTATTAGCATTGTATTCTCATTAGGTGTGACACCCTTGGACAGTTTTGCAATCCAACTGTATAATATATGATCATTATCAATGCAAATTATAGAGGAACAAGTCATCATGGCTGTAATATTTTTTTAAATGTTAATAGGAATGTTTTCCAGTAAGTTATCTAAAAAAAACGGCAGCGTTCCCAAATAAATAGATACCGATATTGTGAGCTAGTCCAACACGTAATCAGCATTCCTGTCAGACACCACGGTACTACGTTATCAAGACGTTTAGAAATCTGAGCATTCTCATGATAACGGGAGTGTTGAGGGCTCTAAGCGTGCTGCATGGAACAGTATTCACGAAAAGACCTACTTTTTTAAGAGGGGGGTAAGAAGAGTATGGGATACCCCAGTCAGGAAAAACCTCATTAATAACAAAAAAGCGAAAGAAAAAATACCAGCAAGGTGTCTGGTGGGTACGGAATACTCTCCAGAAAAAGTTTTATATTATCTGAACATGGCCACCGAATTCCTGTGAGGATTCCATACCGTCCAGGCACCTGGTACTACGATTTCCAACAACACGTTTTAAAAGATGTCATTTTTTAAGTCGGGACGAAAGGGAAAATATCACCATGTTACCTAGTGGATACAGAGAAGTCTTCAGGTAAGGTTTTATATTATTAACTGGTGCCCACCGAGTTCCTATGGGTTATTGTATACTTCTTGTACATCTTTGTCTGAGCATTCTCAGTTGCAGATGTTGAGGGCTCCTAACCCTCTTGCATGGAAAAGTACCTATGTTCACACAAGTCGTTGGAGGGCGCATCTCATTCCGGCGATATACATTCCGGCGACCATTACTATACCGGCATCGGTCATCCCGGCGACTACCTATCCCGGCAACTATTGCTTTCCCGGCATCGGTTATCCTGGCTATGCACACTGTCTAGTAGTCCAATCTTGGAACTGTTTGAAATTATGGATTCTACGGGCCAAACTCTATAAGAAAATGATTTTTCCCGGTCGATCTCAGACAATTTTTTTTCCGGCCTCAAAAAAAGGTAGTGTATAACCTTCCTTTTTTTACCAAAAATCGACTGCTCCAAAATTTCTCGGGAAAACACTTTTTCTCACTAATTTTGGTGCGTAGAATCCAAAACGATTTGTACTTTTTCGATCAGACCTCTCAATCAAAAGTTATGGACTACATACAAATTTCGACAATATATATACAATCTAAAAATAAAATTTTATTCCGGTGAATTGTTTCAATATAATAAACATGAATTTGCTTCATATGTTTACCGCATGTTTTCCATGTACCTGATCGTACAATTCAAATATCCGGGACGGCCGAAGTCGGGATATACATGTCGCCCTGAAATCTGCGTCGGGATTGTCATCGCCCGGATGACCGTGGCCGGTATGAAATACACCCAGACACGAAATATCTCACCTTCGAAAAGAGAGTGGGAGGGTAAATAGCACCAAGGGGCGCGGAATACACTCTAGGAAAACTCTTATATTCTCAAGAAGAGGGCACAGAATTCCTGGGAAGAATTCCGTAAACCCCAGACCCTCCGGCATTTGCTTTTTCAACAAGACGTTCAGAAATCTGGGCATTTTCATGATCATGGGTGTACTCAGGGCTCTAAATGACTTGGATGGAAAAATACCAAGTACCACATTAATTTGGGGAAGCATAGAATACCCCCAACCAGCAGACACTGCACGAGAGAAGAAAAATAGCACCAAAGTAACTGGTGGGCACGGAATACTCCCCAGGAAAGGCCTTATATTTTAAATAGTGGGCCACAGAATTCCTTGGGGAGATTCTACGTTTTCTAACAAAACGTTTAGAAATCATGATCGTCTTGGATGGAAAAACACCAAACAAGTTTTGGGGTTGAAATACTCCCAGCCGGGACTGACTGCTACATTTCTTTCCGATTCCTCTGGTTTCCTTGGTTTTTTTCTCTGGGTATTCTTCAAACCCTTCCAATCAATAAGATTATTTATATTTTTTGAACTTTCGATAGACCACTCGGCACTTTAATTCTTTACACGTTTCATATCCCTAAGATCACCATTCGATTCGTCGAATTTTCCTGACCTTTCGGCCTCTGGATAAGCCCAGTGAGCTGGTCGGCGGTCACGGTGGGTGCGGAATACTCTCCAGGAAAGGTCTTCAATTTTTAAGAGAAGCATTCTCATGATCATGTGTGTGTTGTTAAACGCCTTGGATGAAAAAGTGCCGTTAGTCTAGGGGTATGGAATACCTACCACCCGGCCAGGAAAAACCTCACTTTTTACGAGAGGGCGAGAAGAAATATAGCAGCAAGGTATCTGGTGGGTATTGCGTACTTTCCAGGAAAGCTTTTATATTTTTAAGAGAGGTCCAGGAAATCCCTGGAGGTATTCCATACACCCGACTCTCCGGTACCAAGATTTTTAACCTTTAGAAATCGAAACATTCTCATACTCATGGGGTTATTGTGGGGATTTAAACGTCTTGGATGAAAAAGTACCCGGTACCACACAAGTCAGATGGGTATGAAATACCCCAGCCAGGAAATACCTTACCTTTAAAGAGAGAGCGAGGAGAATAGCACTATGTGATCTAGTGGGCGCGGAATACTTTCCAGGAAGGGTCTTATATTTTAAACAAAACCCCATCGAATGTCTGGGGAGTATCACATAAGTCTGAGAGCCCCCCCCCCCCCCAGTCAGGTACGACCTCATTATTTAAGGTAGGGTGGAAAGAAAAATAGCACCTAGGTAGCTGATGAGTACCGAATACTTCCCAGGAAAGGTCATCAATTTTTAAATGAGGGACACCGAATTCTTGGGATGATTTCATAGCCCCTAGACTCCCCGGTACTACGATTTCCTACAACATGTTTTGAAACTTCCGCATTCTCATTGTCATTGGTGTTGAGGACTCTAAAGTCTAGGGAGTACAGAATACCCCCAGCCAGAAAATAATTCATTTTTAAGAGAGGGCGACCGAAGACTAGCACCAAGGTGTATGGTGGATACGCAATACTCTTCAGGAAATGTGTGATATTTAAAAGAGTGGGCCACCGAATTCTGGGGGAGGGGGCTACCAACTGAACTCACTGTAGGTTTATAAATATTCATCCTAACAACTTATGCATGACAAGTACCGCCGGACAGCCGTTGGTAAAGTGGTTCAAATGAAGACAGTTGAAGCAGAAGTTTTCATCTTTCACGATTTT